CCCCCCCCCAGTGCCATCCCCGGACACCGGTAACCATCTCTCCATCTCGCCCCTTAGGACAGTGTTCTTTACAAACACAGTGGATTAGTCCCCTCCTTGTTCCCTGGCGGCTCTGACAGCCCACAGCCACATGGCTCAGAGGCCCCTTGGCGGGGCCGCCTACCTGCGGGCCTGCGTCGCCACCCGACTCGCTGCCGCTGCTGCTGGGCTCAGCCACACGGTCCTTTCAGGAGAAGCCAGGGGTCCGATTGTTCGTCTGGAAAAAAGCACAATAAACGCATCGTCGCCCTGTGTTTCCGACATTTGGGGACTGAATGGAAACACAGGGCGACAATCCCCACAATCACAACTAAACGACCCAGGTTGGGTGGCACCCACTTTGGTTTGTCCAGGACAGAGGACCCGTCTCAGTGGCAGCGACACTAGGAGATACAAAAGGACGGCTTCCCAGAGCGCCGTCCAAGGCCCAAAGCGGCTCCTTTTGCAGAACAGCCTGCGACGCTCTGACATTAACTCACGCCCCCAAGGACACCTTTGATCGTTCAGGGAATGCTCGTCATGCGAGGCTCATAAATGCTAATCAAACGCTGCAGATTAGCCGAGCCTAGCGAGTAGCCTGGGGGCCTAGAAAAGAGTTCTGAGAGTAAAAAGTATAAAGAACACCTTTTAGTCGCATTTTGCCAGGACTGGGTTCCCGCGTGGTAATGAATACTCTCTTTGGCTGTGTGGGGAGCCGACACAAATCAGTACCTTTAGGAATCCAGACGGGAATTACTGACTTAGCTTTAAGCTTGAAGAGAAATCTATTTATTCAAAGGCTATTTTAGGTGCCATGGGATGGATGAGTTTGAGACAAAGGTTGGGAGGGGTAGGAGGGCCTGGGACATTGGGATAAACACATAATTCAAATTCATGCTTCTAGTTTAGCCAGCGAAGCAGCCTAAGTTGGAATTCGCTATATGCACGATCCCTCAGTAAGCGGAACGTAAGAGGCTCCATGATAGCAGATCCCAGTATCTTTGCCCCTCATTACCGAATCCCCAACACCTAATGCAACGGGTGGCATATATTAGTCAGTGGTTCTCAACCTTGGCTGCACATTAGAATCACCTGGGAATCTTTTTAAAATCCTGATTTCTGGGCCTCATCCTCCGGAAATTCTGTTTCTTTGTTACTAATGTTGTGGCCCCACCCCATAACAAAGAAACAGAATTTTTTGTTATGGGGTGAGGCCACAACATTAGTAACAAAGAAACAGAATTTCCGGAGGATGAGGCCCAGAAATCAGGACTTTAAAAAGATTCCCAGGTGATTCTAATATGCAGCCAAGGTTGAGAAGCACTGTATTAGGTGCTCACGAAATGTCTGTTAAACGCACAGAGAACTCTCTTAAAGCATTTCCCAGAGCCTTTCAGACCCCGTCATCTTTTCCTGAAGGGCAGCTCTGATCACAACATCTGCCTCCTGTTACAAAGCCCCCGAAGTAACACGCACCCTAAGAAGGCCCTGGGGACCTGGCCACAACCCCCAGACCTCCTCTCTGCCCGCAGGTGCACCAGTAGGCCCCTGCACTCCTGCCCAGGTCTAAGTCCCTGCCCGAAACCTGTGAGCATCCTTTTCACCCATGCTTCTCCGTCAAGAGCCTACCCACCTACAAGGTCCTCCCCAAGTGGCTCTACCTTCATGAAAACTGTCAACAGGTGGAGGTGGGTGTCTAATTTGAACCACAAAAATGCAATGCGAAGAGCACCTGGTCCCAGGGAAGCTCTCGGGTAAGATCAAAGCAGAGAAAAGTACCCAGGTCTCCCCAAAACAGAGCAGCAAAACCTACTGGCCCGTCCCAGGCTGAGGTCACAGCAAAGCCACTGCCAAGGGAGGAGGCGAGGGGTGTGAGGAGCGAGGCGGTGGGTGGCCGTGGAGGGACCCAGGCAGTGTTCCCAGGCCCCCGAGGGGCTGTGACTTCTCAGAATACTTCCCTTTGTTGCCTGTGGAGTTTGTCTGGGCCACCATGTGCTTTCTATAAACCTTCACTTGGGCAGGGCCTGGTTTTTGTTGTAAGTCTTTCAAGCATTTGTAAAGTATCTAACAACAGGAAGTCACTTTCTTTGCCTTTGTCCAAGACAGACCAACATAAACGTTTACGTCAGTCTGGGGAGTAGCCAAGTAGTGTAAGATTCTGAGCATCCCGGGCTACTTGCCAAAAACGGGTTAATTCCACACAAAGGACGAGGAGGCCAGAGCAACACCAGTGAAGGGCTGGCCCTGGGGCATCAGGAGACAAACTTCCCAGAATCAGCCAGGCCAGCACCGCCCCTCACTCACTGCTGGATGTGCTCCGTGTCCTGGGCTAGAGGCCTGGGGAATGACCATGCCCACTTGGTGGGGTGGTAATGAAGACTAGACTAAATGACCAGCAGGTGTAACGTGATACATGCCAACTTAGAGTCTCACTGCCTCCCAGGGGCCAGATGGCACAGTGGCAGGAGCCAATTTATACAACTGCATAAGATGTACCATGAGGGTGTGGGGCCACCGGCCAGCACACCAGGACTGAGGTCATGCAGGCTTTGAAGGACACGGGAGCCCTGGGTACATGGGACACTTATAGAGCCTGTGACTGACCCAAGGACACAGACCCCGAGGACAACCCCAGGGCACCATGTGACACATGATGGCCCAGCTGCAGCCACTGGCCCTGCTCCAGTGCACGAAACAATGAAACAATGATTCTGGGCCACGGCCCCCTCGCTTCCCCACATTGACAATGCGCCATCCTGTTGCTCACTTAAAAGCTGTAATTCACACGAAGGCCATTAAGAAAGTATCAGACGAAAAGCAAGCACAAGGTAACATCCTCCTCCTCAGTTCTTTCGCTGGCTCGGCAGCCTTGGGAGTGCTGGACCCACTGTCCAGGGGTCTGGGTGTTTGTCACAACTGTGGGTCCCCAGACATGTCACCTCCCCACTCCAGGCCCCAGGTCCTTCATGTTTAAGTGAGAGGGTTGGCGGGGTCTTCAGCCTGAAAACCAGTGACTCTGATTTTGGGTCCCATGGCTTCTCGGCCTCTGGGCTACGATCAAGTGCGGGCTCTGGTCCTGGGCAATGTCGTGCACCAAGAAGCCTCTTGCATTTCCTTGAATCATGCCTGTCCTCCACGTCTCGCTTGGACACAAGGACCTGAGGATTCCGGAACCCAAGGACCCTCAAAGACCTTACACCTGAGTGCTGATGGCTAAGATGCATGGGGAGAGCGGGAGAGGGGGAGGGGTGCCGGAGGAAGAGGGGCCAGCCCAGACAAGCAACCAGAAAGACCCAGCTGTGAGCTGAGCTCAGGGCAGGAGTAGGGAGGGGTCCAGGGACCCCATCCCTGTTCCCTAGTAGCATCGCTGAGCAGCCGTCAAGACCCCTTTTCCACTGGAAAGAAAGGGAGCAGGCTGGGAAGGATTGTGGGAATACTCAGCGAGGGCCAGGAAGCAGACAGGGTGATGAGGGAGAGGAAGGACCAGCAGATGGGACCCCAAGCATGGTGAGTCCCGTCAGACACAGGAGTGGGATGCGAGGACAGGGCTGGGGGCTCGGAGCAGGGAAGGGGCAGTAAGAAGGCTGAAGTGAGGCTGGATGGGACCCACAACCTCATAGCCTGGGGACGTCCAAGTCCCCTCTGACAGGCAGCCGGACATCGGCATTGCCTCTTGTGCCTCAGCTCTCGTGTGTGCTGGAAATGGCGAGCTGTGCTCATGGAAGGTCACAGCGTGAGCTGCGGTGGAGGAGAGATTGAGAGCAGCTCTCAGGGGCCCTCAGAACACTGACCGTGCACACAATCCCTTTGTCCCACAATCGCTGAGCATCCCCTGCGTGCCAGGACTGATAGCCTATCGATTTTTACATCCTACGCCCAATAGCAGCGTGTATGCACGGCGAGAATGAACGACTACCTATTGACTAAATGCGTGCATATGTCTTGTTTATGGAGCCTCAATAGGATTCCAGTGAACTCTGGAAATCTGCATTTCCTCCCCTTAAGCCTAAAATCGATGGCGTTATTAAAAACAGGAGGGCGTTCCACTGCACGTTTCCTGAGTGGTCTGTTTCTCTCCCTCCAGGTGCTCTCGTGCCGGAGGAAGAGGGGCCAGCCCAGACAAGCAACCAGAAAGACCCAGCTGTGAGCTGAGCTCAGGGCAGGAGTAGGGAGGGGTCCAGGGACCCCATCCCTGTTCCCTAGTACCATCGCTGAGCAGCCGTCAAGACCCCTTTTCCACTGGAAAGAAAGGGAGCAGGCTGGGAAGGATTGTGGGAATCCTCGGTGAGAATACCCAGGAAGCAGACAGGGTGATGAGGGAGAGGAAGGACCAGCAGATGGGACCCCAAGCATGGTGAGTCCCGTCAGACACAGGAGTGGGATGCGAGGACAGGGCTGGGGGCTCGGAGCAGGGAAGGGGCAGTAAGAAGGCTGAAGTGAGGCTGGATGGGACCCACAACCTCATAGCCTGGGGACGTCCAAGTCCCCTCTGACAGGCAGCCGGACATCGGCATTGCCTCTTGTGCCTCAGCTCTCGTGTGTGCTGGAAATGGCGAGCTGTGCTCATGGAAGGTCACAGCGTGAGCTGCGGTGGAGGAGAGATTGAGAGCAGCTCTCAGGGGCCCTCAGAACACTGACCGTGCACACGATCCCTTTGTCCCACAATCGCTGAGCATCCCCTGCGTGCCAGGACTGATAGCCTATCGATTTTTACATCCTACGCCCAATAGCAGCGTGTATGCACGGCGAGAATGAACGACTACCTATTGACTAAATGTGTGCACATGTCTTGTTTATGGAGCCTCAATACGATTCCAGTGAACTCTGGAACTCTGCATTTCCTCCCCTTAAGCCTAAAATCAATGGTGTTATTAAAAACAGGAGGGCGTTCCACTGCACGTTTCCTGAGTGGTCTGTTTCTCTCCCTCCAGGTGCTCTCTGTGGCATGCCCAGACCCTCCGCCCGAAGGGGAATCCGTCACGAGTGAGCGAGGCTGTGTCCCCGCGAGCCCAGGACTTGGCGACGAGCTGAGCACCATGGAGAAGTTCGGCTCCTTCTTCAGTGACATCTGGGACACCATCCTGACCAAGCACCAGGAGGGCCTCTTCAACAGTGTCTGCCTGGGCGTGGTGCTGGCGCTGCCACTGCTGGTGCTCCTCGCCCTGGTCTTCGTCTGCTGCTACTGCTGCTGGAGCCGGCCGGGCAAGGGCCAGCAGCCGGAGCACGGCCCGGGGAAGAAGAAGAAGAGGAGGAGGAAGAAGGGCGAAGAAGACCTCTGGATCTCCGCCCAGCCCAAGCTCCTGCAGATGGAGAAGAGGCCATCGCTGCCGGTCTAGTGGGGCGGGCAGCAGAGGGTCCGCCTTCCAACGACACACGGGGCCTGGAGCGTCACACGCGTGTCCACAGAGGAACTTCTCAGCCAAGGAGCAAACCTCAGACTGAGTGTCCCCAGGGAGGGCACCCCCGGGGAGGGCACCCCCGGGGAGCACGGGGACAATGCGTGGGCACTGGCTGGGCAGCTATGTGTCCAATAGCAACGCTCTCTGCTCCAGATTCAGGCATGCTGTCCGCCTACTTCCGGCACAGTCCATACGCCAAAGCACAGGGAACACGTATCCATAACCATCTGGGCTCACCATGCACACCACACACACGCAGCACAGTATCTGCTCTCGCAAAAACATCTCATAGGAGGGCCTGGCCAGATTCGGGCGCAAGTGTACAATTACATGACCCGGCAAGGTTACAAACTCCATACCTGTTCCATGTACTACTCAGGTTACAGATGTGTGCTTCCTACTCCGCTCCCCACAAACCCTCCTGCTGCGAATCCTCATCCTCGGACGTTTCAGCACCTGGCACAGTGCCCTTTGCTGTTATTGATGCAGACCCTCTAGCTCCTGTGCTCTTGACCCCTCCCCGAGGAGGGCAGGTTGAAAGTGCAATGGATCCGAATTCATCGGAAGCTATGGTCTCGCAAGGTCCTCATTACCACAGGTCGGTGTTGAACGTGGTCCAAGACCCTCGTTGAGACGCTCCGCGCAGAGCCCCTCAGGAAGGCTCCTTCTCCACACAGGACAGCCGCTCTGGGTGTGGCTCCTAGAGAGCTATGGGAACCAGGTAACAGGCTGCTCGGCCCACTCCACCCGGTGCACCGTCCTGTGCAACGCAGAGGTGGAAGGAGATGCCCCACCTGAGCTGGGCATCCCCCCGGAGCCAGAGGCTTTCAGTGGGGAAGGAATGAAGACATCGCCGGCACAGCCTCGCAGAAGGCACACTGGAAGCGAC